ATATACATACATACATATAAATAATTTCCTAGGGTTAGTTATGGATTAAAACATAAAGCTGATGCAAAAGCATCTGTCTGCATGTGATAAGCAGTCACCTGACTTTTTTCTTCTGTGTGAGTATTTAACACAAAGCACTCTGTTTCTGTGGGACACAGAGAAGTCTTTAGATTCAGAAGGTGCTTGATGATTCTCCATCTCATCATGTGTTGGCTCAGAATCACTCTGTCCTCCACAATCTGTTTTCCATCTGCCAACAAAAGTGTTTGTATGGGTTTTGTATCTTTCCCTCATTGGAAGAAAGCTTGGGTTGGACAGTCTGAGCAAACAAATGGCCAGCAGGGAGATCAAGGGTCTCAGCACCTTTTTGTTTTAAAGCACATATACACACCAGCCTGGGCAGAAGAATTGTGGAAATGAACCCAGGTATCATTGACCATCCATGCCCTTCTCAAGTCAAAACAATAATTGAAGGAACCAGTATGTCATTTTATAGTTCCATAAGCTTCCAGAAAAAAAAAAATGAATGAGAAGAATGGAGTGGCTGAAAGAATGAACAAAAGCCTGTGAAAATAGCCAATAGACATTTTAATATTGGTACCAGTTCAGGGTGACCATGAATATTGTACTGCATTTACCTAAAAGACAGATCAATCTGGACTTAAGATGATTACTACGCTTTCTAGAAAGGGAAAGTTAAAAAAGAACACAATCCTCCTTTCTCTGCCTTTAATACTTTTTCTGAGCATATCTAAGATGACCCATTTTAAATTAAAAGTTTTGAAAGATTGGGAGGATGAAAGGTGATTCAAATGCTCTAATATCCTTGTGTGGAATTTCACAGATAGTCTATTTTAATGCAACATAGGTGTTCTAAGCCAAATGGCTATGTGTTATGGATATCTCCCTCCCTTTCTCTGTCTTATTTTATTTATTCTATTTTGTGGCTTGTAGCTCTGCTAGGGAGGATCTGGACAATTATCTGACGGGACCTAAGAAATTACAGTGAACATTGCCAAGAGTAATGGGGACCAAGGCTGGAAAACAACTCTGCCTGGAACAATTTCTTATGGATGGAAAACTTTGAGAACATAATGGTGACTTTTTCTATCAACAACAGATTCTCTATATGGGTTGACAGCCTACTGATTCCAACTGTGAAACAAGACAAACTAATCTTGACATAATTGAAAGAGCATTCATGGTTACTAGAGGAATTACGAATCTCAGAGCATACTACAAAAGCAGATACTAGTTTCTTATGTGGCCAACCTTTCTCAATATTGAACCCCTAATAAGTTTTTGGAAAAACTTCACCAGCTAGAAAATAAAATGGAGGGATTGAGAACATCTCTAGGATCCTCACAGAATGATGTAAGAGATGGACAGACTCTAGAGAACAGCTGAACTGGCAATTAGGGAAGGACAATAAAGCTATTAACCATCAATCAATGGGCTTTGATAAGATCAGAGGCAGCATATGCTAATAATATCTGCTGACCTCAAAGCAACTTAATTGTATTCTATATTGGGAATATTGGTTTCAATTATCATCGCTGGGGCAATAAGAAAGAAGTATCATAGTCCCTGTACCTTTTATTTGGCTTGTAACCACTCTTAGTTAAGTATATAATCTTGTCTTCTAAGAGCCAATTATCATAAAAGATCTTCTAATGTAATGGTGATAAAGTTTATCTGGATACATAGAATTCTGGAATATTATCAAATATTTCTTTCCAAAGTGTTAAAGAACCAGTTCTGTTTGTCTTTGCTTAAGAAAAGGTTAAACTGGATGTATCACTAATAAAACAAGAAAGAGTGACTTTCAGGAAATAAAATCAACAGAAGTGTCAGGACACTGAGTCAAATCCACGCTTCTAGCCACAAGGATCCATGGAGCAATATTACTCACATTGAGATGAAGATTTGACATTACTGAATGAGATAAGGAACTTGAAATATTCATTTCAGAAGTTTAAAGAAATCCTAAATATTTGGCCCAAAGTGCAAGTTTGCCAATGGCCAAACAGCAAGAACTGAGAATCTCTCTGAAAGCATTCCTTTTGTAGCTAAAGCAACATCCAAACCAAACAACCTTACATTCATGTTGGGTTTGACTGTCATTATGATATTGCACATTATAGCTTGTAATTATGAGCTTGACATTATGCCTTTTTTGGATTCCATGAACTATTTAGTGGTGGATGGCACTCTTGGCAAGTTAGAGATAGCTACACAGTATATCTCAGAAACATCTCTCCAAATGGTATGGCTGATGTGAATGCCCTCAGCACCTAATAAATGCCAGTCAGATCTGGAATTCCTTTTCTGATAAACAATTGATGCTACTGATCTATAAACAATAATACCAGCCCCAGAGTAAGGTTGACCATCTCTCTAATAATATTCTAACAGTGAAAGAAGACAAACATATATATTGGCCCTGTTTTTGTTGAACTTTTATGTAAATTCATAATTCAAGTTATGATTTTCATGCACCAAAACTGGCCAATAAGCATCTTCCAATTTTATTTTATGCAGGTGATGCTGCCTTCTTACCGAAGATCCAAATTGGACTCAGGACAACCCTTCAGGCCTTAGCATAATTTTCAAGCAAGACCAGCTGATTATCAACTACCGAGAAATAAACATTATGGCATTTTCCAACAGCATCAAGACCCACAGATGGTATATAGATAATCAAGTAACAGTATAAGTAAATTGCTTTAAATTTCTAGGAGTGGTTTTCCAATCCTGTAGGAAGAAAATAGCTCGGGGAAAAAAAAAGTTGCCTCTGTAATCTGACAGAGTGCATCAGAAATCTTAACATTTTACTAAAATCAGGGAGGGAATTATATCCCTATATCCCTGCTACAATTAAACTCTTTGTCAGTAAACCAGTAGCACAACTCTTGTACAAGATGTAAGTGGGAAGCCTACAGAAAAGTACAATCAAATTGTTAAGGTCCCTCTTTAAAACACCCAAATGTGTTCCTAAAAGGCCACTCAGACTGGAGGCTGCCTTTTTAAATTTGAAGCCAGGGTATGGCAAGAAATGATATTTACCTGGCTAAGGCTCAGTCTTGCTCCAAATGGCTTACTCTCCTTAATAGCTTTATATAATTATAGATCCAGTCAGTGGGAAAACATTACAGATAAAGTGCTTAATTATGACCTTTTATTAAGCCCATGCTTCACTCCAGCGCAGAGAGAAATGAAGAGGTGGTTAAGCAGAGGACTCTGCAGATACAGAGTTTCAATACAAATTAGGCCAAATTACAAGGCTGTTCAGTTCCATAAGAGTCAATCTAGTCACTTTCCAGTTGATTACCTAAACTCATGTCAATCCAAGCTACAGATGAAGTTTTGCTGTGGCCTGCTTTGATACCAACCCCTTTGATCACACTAGATGGCAGATATAAGGACACACCAGTCATCCAAAAACTACCCCCATGGGACTTACAGGTAGAATTGATTGAACATGTTATACATTTTATATAGATCCAGTCATTAAAACCCTTCCTTAACAAAATGCCAGGCACCCAGACAAATTTAATATTCTTTATCTATTGTCTGACAAAAATCCAAAGCTGACATATACAGCTGCAAAACTGTTACCTAGTAACAACGGTTTGCAGCTGTGTGTTATCCTCTAAGGGAGTGGGTTGATGCTGATAAAGTACATTGTATGTTAAAGTTATACTAGCCATTAGATGTTATATTTCATGGATGCTTTTATGTGTATGTACTCTTGTCTAAGACTATTTAGTGTGTCAAATATTTGATTTAAAAAAACCTAATCTTTCTTTCAAGTAAGTAGAGCAATCCTCCAGTTCAAAGAAGATCACTTCTATTTCCATTTAAAGACAAAAGGGTGTTGAAATTCTCCATTTATAGACTGTACGGGCTGCCTGATCATGAACCTTTCTACTATGGTAAACTGAATATATGTAAAACACAATTAATAATATATAATTATTACATGGATCCAGATTAAGGTAATTGTTTTTAACATATATTAAAATAAATGCAGAATGCAACCAACATCCAGAACAATCCTTATTATAAAGTACAATCCTTATGTGTTTTATGCATAAATATTTTACCATATAGCTACTGAGTAGAAAACCAGCTCATGACAGTTCTTTTAATCTGATCCAGAGAAAAGCAAATGCAACATTCCTGAGAATGCCTTATTCCAAAATGGATTAAAAGACTGATTATTTGAATATTTTGTAATGAGGACTACTTCAGTACCGAATGGAGAAAGGATTGCTCCTACTTTCCTCAGCATGAGGATGTTGAGGTTCAATTAGGAATGTTGCTTTTTGGGGAGGGGGGGAAATCCTTGGCCCAAAATACCACCCATGGATGCAATCTGTCCTTGTCTCTCTGTGTGGTCTTCACATCAGATCCGATTCCCAACATTATTTGATATTATTATAGGTGGATGGGTTCTTTCTTTGGTTCACATAACTACAACTATTACCATTCTTTTGGAGCCAGTCAAATTTGGGGACAATTATCCATGTCTTCGTTATATTTCAATTTGTTAATGCACTTCTAGGGTGCATGCAGAGACCTGGTTTAATGTGTTTTTTTCCAGTCTGTAAGGCAGCTCAAAATTATGCCAGCGTAATTTGCTCTGTCTTCATAGTCAGTCTTGACTCTCCTTCTGCAATGAGGCTGGTAGGTGGTGCTGTCTTAATAGCTCACTGTGGGGTAAGTTAAAGTACATTGATTGATCGATTTTTCTTCCAGCCAGAAAGACATCAACCAATTGCTTCCCTTAATGTGTGCTGCAACTAAGGTTTGGCAGGTGACAGTGAGATACTGCAATCGAAACTCTGCCACTTCTGCACATGTATGTGACATTGATGTAGATACAAAAGGCATTGAACTTTGATTGCAATACATACCTGCCATCTTGCAAATTTTGACTCCCCCCACTATGTAGACTTGTTTTTAAGGAATGGTTAGCGAGGCATCTTTGAGACAAAGTTAGGGAGATGTGTGTGGATGTGCCTTAAGTGGGGCTGCCCTTGAAAAGTATCCAGCCATTGTGATTAATGCAAAATGTAGGAGTTACACTGCTAATGAGTACAAAAAGTATGGGGATCTTATCATGACTGTACTGAAAGGTCAGCACTATCTGCCAGTTGCTTACTTGATACAATTTAAGCTGTTGGTACTAAAAGTCCTCAGGCCCTAACTATTTAAAGGATTGCATTTCCTGTTGTGCACCTGTTGTGATTTGCAGGTGAGACCACATTCTTTCTGGCAAGTAGGAGGGGGCCTTCTCCATGTTGCTCCCAGGCTTTGGTATGAGCTCCCCCACTCTTTTGGAAAGATTTAGAAAATTTACAGTATAAAGATGCTTCTCTTCCATAAGACTTCCAACTGTTAATTGATTTTAGTAATAACTTCAAATACTTGCCAGATTAAAATATAAAACGAACGAATGAATGAATGCATTCCTTGCCAACGAAAGCTAAGGATATTTCTCTGGAGAAATCCCTTCATGGCAAATTGATTGAGTGCAATTCTCATCATGCTCCGTTTGGAATCTGCCCAACTGACCTGCTTGGGATCTACTCTTCTGTAAAGATAGAGAGGATCACACTACTACATTTGCCCAGCAGAATGTTCCAGTTGTGCCTTTTTTCCTTGATGGAATTCGAGGTTCCCTCGATTGTAGGTCCGTTTTTTGGATACTCTCTCATCAGGCACTGGTCCAATTCAGATTTCTTGGCTTCAGCAATGCTGCTGTATCATGTGCCTTCAGACTGTGCCCATCATCTGGCAAGGGTGCGCTTTCCCTCTCTAGTGTTGGAGGGCTGTGTTGATGCTGAGATAATGCAGCTGAGTAGGAGGCATTTATTTGTACATCAGCTTTCCAGATCACTTATTTTTATGACACAATTAGCCACCTGATCACCTTTTTAAAAAAGACACATGCAACCAGATTTCTGGCCAAGCCAGAAATACAAATAGCAATAGAACAATGCCCCAAATGGTATAATATAAAAAAGTTCAAGTCTCTTCCCCTCCACCCACCCCACACCCTGTGCATCACATTATCCTTAAAAAAAAATCTTGAGATTCATTTTCTCCTCTTCATTCCCCCAAGGCCATAAATGCTAACCCCACGGAGGCTTCCCTCCTGGCTCTACTGTACCTGCACCCCCAAAGCAGGGGACGCTGCAAACAACCCACCTTCTCCTGAGTCCAGTCCGCTCTGTCTTCTCGGCCACCCACAGGCTGCGGGAAGCCCGGGAGAGCCAAGCAGAGCGCCCAGGCCAGGCAGAAGGATGCCGCCGCCTTGCTATCTCGCCTCCCGCTGGCCATGCCGCTCCAGAAGCAGCTCTCCTCGGCTGGGTGGGGGGCGAAGCCAGCCCGGCCAGCAATGCTTTCAGCGAGGAGGCTTGCTTGCGCCTCAGAGCGAGGCAGCTTCAGGCAAATAGGCGGGCGCAACGGGCGCAGTGCTGGGAGATGAGGCGCGCGATGGAACGGCGGCGGAGGTGCTTCGCTTCCTGAGGCGCTTTTGGCTTCGTGTCCGGCGTTCTGTCTTGCCTTGCCTTGCCTACGTAACACGACGGGAGAGATGCTAATTCCCATCCCAGTCAATCCGGCTTTCCCTCAGGAGTGGGTGGGCGTTTTGTCCCTGGCACCACGTCAGCAGCATCAGCAGGACAGCAGATGACTAATCCCGCCACTTTGGGCTGCGGCCACGCCACAGCAGGACAGCTCCCCCCGTTTCCTTCTTGCCTTTCGCCCGAAAGAAAGCGGGGCGGTTCTATTCTACAGACGCTGCTGATGTTTTCCCACTAATAAAGTGAGCAGCGAGGGGCGCTTCGTGATTTTTTAATTTTTTTTACTGTAAGATTCTTGTGGAATAATGAATCAAAGCATGTTCTGTATTTCTCTTGAGTATTTGCCATTCCAGACTGATCAGCCTCCAGAACTAGCACAAATGTACAGATTATTTGACGGATATGAGATTTGGGAGACTTTTAGTACTTATAAAAAAGAAATAATATCAATATTATTTCATTAAGCTGCTCCTAAGAGTCTCACTAACACACTGAATCCATCCTACCAGAAGCTGGTGCCCTTCTGATGTGTTGAAGAACAACTTCCAGAATTCCCAGTCAGGATGCTGGGAATTACAGTTCAACACCTTTGGTGGTTGCCTGGTTGCGGAAAACTTCTCCATCCAGTTAAACATAACTTGGATTCCATTATAAGTTCCTGCAAAATGTTTATCCTTACAGTATACTAACATCGGTTCAATGGATTGTACACTGAGTTCTGAGAACATTTTTTTCCATTGGAAGGGACCCTTTCCCCTTCTCTCCCCAGCATGGTATAGCAATTATCAAATCTGGATTGCAAAAATCCTGATGACTGCTAAATGGTAGCAAAACATTAAGGTTTTCTGTATATCTTTGCTGCTATCAAAATTCATCAACATTTTGCTGTCCAGAGCTAGTAGCTCCTGTCTATAGGCATAAATGGTGTGCTAGGCATATGATTGTAAAATGTGGGTTTTAAAGATATTAGCTTTTTCCAACTCCATGCATGATTGATCTGATCTCAGTTGGCTACCATCCTTTTAATTTTTACAAAAAAGGAAACAAAAATGAATAGTGTCAGTTAGCCAAACTAATCTTAGTGTATTGGGTGAACACATTCATTGGGTGGATTACCCAACATGCTAAGTCATGGCTGTTTAACCTTTTTTAAATTGAATATATCATAACAGGCTGTATTCACAGAACAGACTAAGCCAACACCAAGCAAACATTATGGCTTAGAGGGCTGGATGAACCTGATCAATAAATAAAAGGAGGTACTTACCTGATATTCCACAGATCTACTGGACAAGTTGGAAGGTTCCTCAAATAATTAATCTGAGTTCACACATGCTAAACTAGGAACAATTGGTATGTTATTACAACCTCAGTCTTGAATAATACTTCTAATGTCTGAGCCACTTCTGCCCAATTATAAATTAATTGATCTAAATACATTTCCTTGCAGCTTTTGGACACAGAGACAGAGAGCTAAGGGGCTGCAAAGTAGGACTGCTGTAGTTACACCATCTCTTCCTTTCTATTATTTTCACACACTAGCACTGCAGGTGCTTAGTTGTATGTGTGAAAAGGGGATACAAACAGAGTGAAGGCAGGCAGAGCATTTTTCCATCTCTGCCAGTGGCTCCAATTTAAAGGGACCACTGGAGTTTTTAAAAATGCCAATGAAGTGAAGAAGTATGGCACTGAAACTAACCAAGACAGCTATTCTTCAGCAAACTAGGGCTGCTGTCTGATTGCTGAGTTGTTTGGCAATATGTTATGATGCCAGATAACCCAACAATTGGTTTAATCCAAAATGCAGTTTGCTTCTTTGTAGCTTAGCATGTTGTATAATGTCAACCATAATTTGCAAATCACAAATTATGGGTTAGCATATTGTATGAATGCAGTCAATTATTGAAAAATCATGATTTATTGAACAGTAGTTTAGGGTATTGTGTGAGCATAGCTGTGTAAATAACTTCCCCAAGATTCACACCAGATGTGCCTGAGTATGTGATGTAAACATCCTCATCAATTGCCTTCCTTGTGCTCTGGGAAATAGCTGGGCATATGTAAACTATGTAGATAGACTGCTGTGTGTGTGTGGATGTGTGTGTATAATCATGCTGCAAAAATATATTTGGATTAAATGTTTCTAGGAAGGCCATCGAAAGAGATTTTAATTGATGCATATTAGCATTCCTGTAAGTAAGATTCAGTTATCCTATCACATTTAGTTCTGTAATAAAATCTAGCCACTGGGAGCTGGATATTTCCCTCTTAGGCAGATAATCTTTCTTTTTGTGGGAAAATTACAGCAATCACAAAAGAAGGGAGGGCCTTTATCCAAGCTACAGCTGAGCTGACTGCAGTGTGTTCAGTAATTCTGATTCATATCCTGTTATGAATCTGGCTGCCTTAATGACATTGAAGGAGTGCCAGATCCAAGAACATCAGTGTTTCTGGTGGCTTGTGGACACTTGTTTGAATGGAATTATTCCCTTGCAGAGATGCAGTCATAAAACAATGTTATCAATACCCATCTAACTCTATGGTGGTGGTAATGCAACATGCTGAGCTACAACTGACTGAATCAATCCAATTTTCTGGTTTTGCAGACTACACCAAGTCATAAATGAGCACATGGACTGGGACTACATAGCATCCTACGCTAAGAGCTGGTTGGCTAGTTTGTGGTTCGGTGTGTTATGCAACCACAGTCTGCAATGACACATTCACTGTAATAATTAAAGGGCAGTTTATGCTACCACCACCTCAGCCCAGCTCCATTCAATTACTCTTGATTTCAAATTCTGGTGCCTGCAAAGTGACAATAATAGCCAAACTAGGCTTGTAGCCACAAATAAACCTCTGAGCTTGATTAATGAGCTCTATAGGACAGGAAGGAGGTAAATAGCCCAGTATTTAACATGGGCATCTGCAGGGGGTTATTTCTTTATAAATTTGATTAGAATTTTGACCTAGCATAAGTTCATATTTAAAATACTGTAGATGCCTTGCACAATTGTTGAGCATAATAATGTTACAGTGCCACCTAATGGTTTACTGAACAAACTGCTTTGTCCAGTGTTTATATACAGTACATACTGTAATTAAATGGATTCTCAGTTATTTCATGACTTTCAGTTCTGTGAAGTCACTGTTGAGCTTGATATAGTCTTTGTCTGTAGCTGTGATCATACTTGATGGTTAATGTAATACAAGGCCAGGAGGCTGCATCAAACATTGCAAAGTCAAGTAATCTCTTCCATTTCCAAATTTGGTCTTGGGATGGGGGACATTGGGTTGGACACAGGTACTTTATCGCTGGACTACAACTTCCATTGGGTTGGACACAGGTACCATATCGCTGGACTACAGCTTCCATCATCTGTAGCCAGCATGGAGGGCACCAAGTCAAGAAATCTAATTTGGCTACAATATTTGTTGGAAGGTGGTCTAAATTTTTGTGTAAAAGCCTATCCAAGTTGCAACTGGAACATGTTTTGTTGTTGTTTAGTCGTTAAGTCATGTCAGACTCTTCATGACCCCATGAACCATATCACGCCAGGCCTTCCTGTCCTTCACTGCCTCCCT